ATACAATGTGTTACTGTTATGATTGTTCGCTTCACTTCCTTAAAAGTAGAAACACGGTACTTTCATAATTCCATTTAATTTTCTGCATCAACAGGTTGTTTGAATGAGGGTTAAAAGTTCAAACGGTCAAAAAAATTGTTGAGCTATTATTTTCTTACGTATAACTCAGTCACACCACCAAACCAACTCCTCTCGGTTTCCACTCGGTCTCCTCTCGATCTCCTCTCGATCTCAACTCGGTCTCCTCTCGGTCTCCTCTTCGTCTCCTCTCGTTCTCCACTCGGTTTCCTCTCGGTCTCCTCTTGATCTCCACTCGGTCTCCTCTCGCTCTCCTCTCGCTCTCCGCTTGCTCTCCGCTCGGTCTCCTCTCGGTCTCCACTCGTTCTCCACTCGTTCTCCACTCGGTCTCCTCTTCGTCTCCTCTCGTTCTCTTTTTTTCTCGCCCATTCTCGTTTTTCTATACAATATGTTACTGTTTCGCTTCACTTCCATACAAGTAGAAACACGGTACTTTCATAATTCCATTTAATTTTCTGCATCAACAGGTTGTTTGAATGAGGGTTAAAAGTTCAAACGGTCAAACAAATTTTTGAACTATTATTTTTTTACTTACAACTCAGTCACACCACCAAACGAACTCCTCTCGGTTTCCACTCCGTTTCCACTCGGTCTCCTCTCGGTCTCCTCTCGCTCTCCTCTCGTTCTCCTCTCGGTCTCCTCTCGGTCTCCACTCGGTCTCCTCTCGGTCTCCTCTCGGTCTCCTCTCGGTCTCCTCTTCGTCTCCTCTCGGTCTCCTCTCGGTCTCCTCTTCGTCACCTCTCGGTCTCCACTTGGTCTCCTCTTGGTCTCCACTCGTTCTCCTCTCTCTCTCTCTCTCTCTTCTCGGTCTCCTCTCGTTCTCCTCTTCGTCTCCTCTCGGTCTCCACTCGGTCTCCTCTCTGTCTCCTCTTGGTCTCCTCTCGTTCTCCTCTCGTTCTCCACTCGGTCTCCTCTCGGTCTCTTCTCGTTCTCCACTCGGTCAACTCTTGGTCTCCTCTCGGTCTCCTCTTCGTCTCCTCTCGGTCTCCACTCAGTCTCCTCTGGGTCTCCTCTCGTTCTCCTCTTCGTCTCCTCTCGGTCTCCACTCGGCCTCCTCTCGGTCTACTATCGGTCTCTTCTCGGTCTACTCTCGGTCTTTTCTTGGTCCCCTCTCGGTCTGTTCTAGCTCACATCGGTGTGACCGGGGAAATATGATCGAGTGGTGTACTCAAAAATTGATAAATGTGAGAGAGGTCGAAATAAAGCCCTTGCAGACCCGGTGCTCCATCAGAAAGTTTTAAAGAGACTGAACAGGGTTAACCTGGTTTAATGCAAGGTAAATGGTTCACTTCTGATGTCCACTTTCATCACGTTCATTATTAAAGCACCACTTTACTGTACATGCTATAAACTAGGAAAGCCCGTACCCGACGTAAAAAGTAGGCCTATATACCATGTTTACGGCTAAGATCACACATTCCTGGCCCCTTTAAAGGATAAAGTTTTCAATAGAAATCAAAGTCATTTTCATGAAAAGTCAAATCAATTAACTTTCTTCTTTCCTCAGACCCCCCCCCCCCCCCCATCCTCTCTCTCTCTCTCTCTCTCTCTCTCTCTCTCTCTTTCTGTCTCTCTGTCTCTCTCCCTCTCTCTCTCTCTCTCTCTCTCTCTAGTGATCATCGTGATAGAGGGCCAAGTCTCGGACCAGGTGAAAGGTCTAAAAATGTCAGAAATTCAGTGTAAAACACATATTTGTGAAATCCAGCTAAGTCGGTCCAAATCTCCTGAACGATTTGCCGGATGTATTTTGAATTTCATTCTCAGTCCATTTTAGGGGTCGTTAATAATTTCAGTTTTATTATCGTATTGTGCATAACCTTGTCCTAGTTACAACATGTAAATAACCGGAGATAAAGAAATCAAAAGAAATTGTGTTTTTATAAATTTTCACCTCTCTCTAACCCTCTCACAGTCCTCTTTCTACATTTTGTCGTCCTCTTTGCTTTTACTCTGCCTGTATCACCCCACCCCCTTTCTATTTCTCTCTCTCTCTCTCTTTCTCTCTCTTCCTTTCTTTCCCTCTATTACATTTGACATGTCTTAGTCCTCATTGTTTTAAGATAATGGATTATGAAGAAGAAAAAAACATCAATAAGACCAACACTAATTTTGTGTTTAACATCTATATCTATCATTTTTGGGGTTATGAGACGTGCATTGCTTTAAAGCGCTGCCCTTGCATCGTAATAAATACAAGAATACTGATGATTTCGTTTTTTACCTGTGCAAAAAAATTAGACATCTGTTCGACGAGAATTACGAGGAATCATGTTATTAAATTATAATTGGTATGTTGAATACCATGAGCATATTATTTTGTTTGATGACGACCGCTTACCGACTACATGGGGTTAAAGTTCAAGTACATGGATTACTTGAAAGTCACATGACTACCTGCGTCGAGTGATATATACTCGACGTGGTACCTATATTTTTGTTAACTTTTCTTTTAATTATTGTTTCTTTCCTTTATTTCGTTTGTTCAACACTTATGATCTAACTGCTGAAGCTAGAAATATATGATGTCTTTAGAAACGAAAACAATCAGTTGATTAGCTTTTGGGGGGCGCGCCGGGGACATACGCCCCAAATCGATTGCTGGCAAGAAAGAATAAAATGAACCGGTAAGATTACAAAAGAACGGGGGAGAGGAAGATAACATGAAGAAAAAGATAAATAAAAGACGCCCTCCTACACCCTGACATCACCCTACATTTTCAATTCACCTTAAAATGCCAGTGCCCCCCCCCCCCCCCCCCCCCCAATATATCTTGCGTCTAGAGATTGTTGAGATTGCGTGTATGAGTGTATGTTTGCGTGTGTGTGTTTCATATTTTAATTTTATATATCAATTGGGCCTATGATGGCGCTCTTCCATAAATATCATCAAAACCATCAAGACACGTCGTGATCAATGGCATTGGCTAGCATACGAGTTGAACAGTTTATAGGTTACGAACCGCAGAGAGCATGACCATGACACATGTGAAAAGTCTTAATTTTTGTAATGTTTTTATGCAACTTATATTTTCATCGCATGAATAAAAACATATTATACTGACACTAGCTGCAAAATTAGAAATGCATAATGAATACCTATTGCCCCCGTAAATATTTATCATGGATAGACTCGTTGTCCCCCCCCCCCCCTTCTGCTCGCTTGTTGATAAAGAGCATTACCTGTCATTAGAAGTGAGAATGAGTGTATATTAGGGACAGGCCCGTAGCCAGAGTTTGATGTTTGGGGGGGGGCACATACTTGATCGACGTCCTGGGGACCCCCCCCCCCCCCCTTCCCGTGCCCCACCGTGGCTACGTGCCTGATTAGGGACTGCATTAAAATGGGAATAGTTGTATAAAATGGCAAATAATCAACGGGGCGTTGTGGCGTGTGCCTGTAATCCAGCTAATAATGGAAGTTACAAAATGATTCAGCCGGGAACGCAGGTTCGAAACTGAGTTACGTCTTTCGGATGGTGACGTTCAAAGTCGTTCATTAGACTTAAATAATCATATCTGATTGATACACGTCTGTAAAAACCCAATTACACACAAACACACACGCGTATGTGTTCACCGTGAGGGAAGGGGTATGGCTATGTCCTAATGATAATAAGAATAATAAAATAATAATAATTGTATTAGCCCAGGGCTCATCAGCATCAATGCTGTTCTTCCTGAGGGCCCCGCACTTATCATTACCCCAGTAATTGCCAGGTATCCATTTACACCTGGGTGGAGCGCGGCAAATGATGATTAATGTCTTACCAATGGAGTTTATTGCTGCAGGCTGGGATTCGAACCCCGAACACTAGGTTTTAGAGAAAGTGAATGAACCAATATACCACGTTCTTCCTCCCAAGTTTTACAAATGTTTCACTACCCCCTGGATGGGACCACGGCACAAGTAGGTGTGCAAATGGACATTGTCCATGGTGTAATTTAGAAAGGCCAAAGATTTAATTTCATATTAATTTCTCCGATTCGCCCGACACGTTGATTAGCAACGACAGTTAATTGCAATCACCTGTAACTCCTTCTCATTTCAGCACCCCCCCCTCTCTCTCTCTCTCTCTCTCTCTCTCTCTCTCTCTCTCTTTCTCTCTCTCTCTCTCTCTCTCTCCCTTTCTTTCCCAATTATTCTTGGATCTCTACCTATCATTTTTCTCCTTTCTTTGCTGTACTTTGCTGCATCACCAGGTACTCCCTAATTTATACATTTAAAGGTAAAGACCAGTTATGGTCACGCGATTGCATTGTGAAAGAAACGTTGTGGAATCGATCAGAAAAGGTTGATCATCTAGCATCTAGCATCTGCAAGGTTCTGGAATCATCAAAATGATAAGAAATTTGGCCCATTCTTCGTAAAGTTACAAGCACTATACACAGAAAGATGTATATGGGACTACCCTATATCTCTCACAGACCATGAGAGAAACAAATTTACCAAATATATGAATTAGTAGGCGGTTTCCCGGCAAATTTTTTATCATCATGTATTAGTCAAAACATATTCTTTCACATGATTGGTAATGAGAGCTTCCATTTCATTTTTTGAAATTGGGGTGTTTCCAATACTGGTCTTTACCTTTAACATGTACTTAATAAACTGTCAGGGCTCAAAGGGCATCATGCTTCCGTTATCATAGAGCCCTGGCTAGTTCTGTTTAAAATAAGTTTTTATTTATCTATGTATGTTTGAATGAATACTGATTTTATCATGTATTCAGTAGTGACACAAATGAAAATGTCCGGGATGATATTATTATCCTTTAGGTGATAGGGGTCTGTATATTAATTAACACACCGGGCGATGTGTTTAGTCCGTGGTATTTGTCCAGATAGTGAATGGAAATTTTCACAGAAAATAGGATAATTTGTGTTTTTTTAACATTTGACAAAACAACACAAATCAGAATTCATTTGAAAGATTTGGTCTATTTCTTTTTATTACATTAAAACGATCGTTAGGATTCACATAATTACATTTAGCTTTCTATCTTTAATTTTTTTTACTTGTCTGAAGCAAATCATTTTGTACATTACCTCAACCTCATCCCAAGACTACATACTGCTTTCTGCCATGCTATACAAACAAATGAACATTCTATCTACATGTAAAGTCCAACAAAATTTAAATTTATAATTAGGTATACATCATGCACTTCCCTTAAAATGTAGTGATACGTGACATCATTAGCTGATAGAGGGCACTGCTTTCGAACGTGTTTCGGCTTCATACATTTCGTATTCACTCGGCCGCCGGTCCGCGAGCACACTTTATAGGGATCAACCGCCATACCGCCATTCGGATTAACACGCGGGATTGTGAAACAAATGCTATGACTATATACTGCCCTCTAGCGGAATGCGGCCGAAGCACTTTTTTGAATGGTGCTCCTATAGATGTTCTAGTCATAAATTTGTAACCTAATAAATAGGAAGGAAAGAAAAGTATATACATGAGCTAATTTGAAATTCATTGAGATGGTCATCGACCGACCCTCAAAGGTCATATTCTTAGAATAAACATAATTATTTACATAAAGAGAATATCAGAATCAACAAATTACATGAGTTGAGCTTGCTCTCTCGAACTGACTAAAGCTCAGTAATTATATTCATATTATAAGGCACACTGTTAAAGCGAGAGTAATTTCGGCCCATTTAGATAGGAAGTTTTTGCTGGAAGAGGCTTACATTTGTAGAAATTGAGAAAGCGCCGGAAACCAATTGCATAGGAGAATGCACGATTGGGAACATTTTTAAACACTATCATCACATTATTATCACGGTACGAATAACCTCCAGAAAATCTATGAAATTGCAAGTTCGGAGAGGGTATAATTATTAGCGTCATGTTTAGCACCGTCTAGCACCATTGATATATACACTTCATTATATGTATTACGAACATTTCAATAAAAAGGAAAAAATCGGTCGAGATATAGCGTAGTCAAGATGATACAATCTTTTCGTTTCGTTACAATGACAACTACAACAACGAAGATTTTACAAGTTTTTTTAACACTTTCAAGAAATGATGTACAATGCTATTACGAATAATTTTAGTTCAATAGTCAGAATGTGATTTGGATACATTAATTGTTGCTAGGTGGGACCAAAATTATGGCTTGGCCTACCTAACACGTAATGTATGCCATTCGCATTCTGACTGTTGAAATTAAATTATTCGTAGCAGGTGATTGAAATCACTTGTAACGAGGCTCTTAAGAAAGATTCATGCATTACAATTGATTACATTACGAAAACTGTCTATTGCCTTGTGGTGATGTTTCGAAAGCCCTTGCAACAACAGTCACCCGATGCAGCATGATGATAATTATTCAGATGAATTTAAAACAATATAAGCAACAACTGAATATATTATTCACCCCCGCATTTTACGATGTGCCCGCGTCCCGTTTGGTAACACTAGCCAAAGTTGCTATCATACTCCTCTTTTATCATGGGTACTTTCTTTCCTATATTTCCCCCAAAATTTAAATAAATTCAGATATTGCATGGTACTTTTGTCAACATTTCTAAGATAACTTGTCGGGTCTCCCCCAACTTACAATATTGGAGGGCATTAATTGATATGCCATTGAATATATTTTATGAGCAGTTTTGAAACATAAATATTCAAACAATCCTTGAAGTCTGTCAAAATGAAAGTGCATTACCCTCCACGTATTGTGTTCGCTTAATGCTCGAGTTCTTGTAATCACATTTGTTTTGAATATGGGAAACAATTTCACCTCGCATCAACTGTAACCATGGTATCATATATGAAATCATCATGAAGTGCATGGTTTTAACAAAATACATATTAACAATCGATAAGAAGAAAGACAGCACAATAAAGACAAAAATTCATTCTAAATAAAAAGAGAATACTATCTACAACAAACTTTTATATGCCTTTTACAATAAAATAATTCCCATAACTTTCTGAGAGCATAATCTTTGTACCAACTCCCCTGTTTCATGGTATTTCTGTGTTAATTTTTTGTTTTGGTGAAACTAATAATTCATGTTTATTTGATCATTAAAATGCTTCCATATAGAGTGATGAATTCAAAGCATTCTGCTTCATTTTATCTTATCTAATTACTGCTTTATGTCTGAATAATGATAGTTTATTCATCGGAAGAATTATAATGGGCCGTCTCCCGACAGTTCAGGCTCGCTGGTGTACAGCTCTGCCGGGCTGCTGCTGGTGCTGGTGCTACTGCTGTCGAGCGATGAAATGGACGATATGGTCACATCGGTCTCACAAAAAGGTTGGAATCCGCTCCATTCGCCGCACGGGGTACAGACCCGACGCGAGCTTCCGTGCAGCATGTACTCGGGGTTGCAGAAGTAGGTGACTTCGGCGCCGAAGGAGAAGTCGTCGCCCTGACGGACTCCTTCCGTGACTTGACCGGGGTCCTTACAGGCGTAGTTGACCGTTTCTGAGTGGGGAAATTAAAGAGTAGGGGGAAAATCGTAAATGGGATCAAATAATAGTCATAATAGCTATAAGTATTGCTATTGGTTCTAGGACACCTACCCCCCTGGACAACCACCCCTAGGATAACCACCCTCTAGTACAACCACCCCCTAGGAAAACTACCCTCTAGGACAACCACCCCCTAGGACAACTACCCCCTAGGGCAACCACCCTCTAGGACAACCACTCCCTAGGGCGACCACCTTCTAGGACAACTACCCCCTAGGACAACTAACCCCTAGGGCAACCGACCTCTAGGACGACTACTACCGGACAACTACCCCCTGGACAACTAACCTAGGATAACCACCCCTAGGATAACCATCCTCTAGGACAACCACCCCTAAGACAACTACCCCCTAGGACAAGCACCCTCTAGGACGACTACCCCCCCCCCCCCTGGACAACTACCCCCTGGACAACTACCCCCAGACAACTACCCCTACGACAACTACCCCCTAAGACAACTATCCCCCACACAACTACCCCCGGACAACTACCCCCTACGACAACTACCCCCTGACAACTAACCCCCTGACAACTACCCCCCCCCCCCCCCCAGTCAACTAATCCCGACGACAACCATCCTCTGGGACTACTCCCCGGACAACTATCCTGGGTACAGCTCAAGACCCCTGAGGCCCCTCTCCCACTTTATACATTTCATTGGACCTACATGTCGGTCAAACCGGAGGAGGTGTTTGGGACCCCTAACCAACCCCCTCCCACACCATGCAGGACATGTAATAGTTACCTGAAACCTTGTAAACTATTTCGACGGTCTCGGGAACGATGATATATTCCTCGGACTCTTCGCTGCCGCAGTTGTGGATGAGTCTGATGGCAGCATTTGTCTTCACGAATGTTACAATAGTACCGGTCTTGGTGGTGATCAAGTTGGCTTCATAGAGGTAGTCTACGCCCCACAATCTGAAGGAAAATGATTGAATACAATATACTTAATTTTAAAATTTTAAACATAGCACGGGTGTGAGGTGAATAATGTTTGATGTGGAGGTCTGGATTTAAGATTATTTTGAGACTCAACATGGCTTCTACTACTAAATAAAAATTCTTTGCCATTTGTTGAGAAAATGAACTTGGGAGTACGGGTCAGGATTAGGTTTGTAAGAACGGGTATATGTTTCTTTGAAAGTTATACTTTTGATCTCAGTACAAAATTTGAACCACTGAAATTGTCAGCTGTTCATCTACAACCTTCGGCTAATTTTCAAACATATGGATAATCTGAACAGATGAAATTTCATAATCACTGAATGGGCATTATAGAATTGTTATATTCATTTTTTCATTATTATTTTTAATCATTATTGTTGTCCTTTCAATAGTCATGTAAGCGCCGATAGCACCAGGCTTGGTTGTGGCAAAATATAAACTTCATACAAATGGTCAACACAGCATAACCACGATATCCCGGTAGTTAGTGACTCAGTTTTAAATTGTTAACATACATGATTGTGATATAAATACGGAATATTTTTTTGTATCCACTCCATCTTCCTATACATATAAATATAGTACCAGACTCGACTGTTACCCTGCTTGCTTCTGAGGAAGTTAACACCTCATTAAACTAAATTTGCGAAACTAAATTCAAAACATATCCTAATTCCAAACAATGATCGTTAGAACTCCTTAATCCGGTTGAAATGATGCGGTTGCAAATTTATAATTTATTACTTGTTTGCTTTTTGTTTGTTGCCTTTAAGTGATTATAGGGGAGTGTGAGTGTAAACATCAAAAGATGGCCTTTTTGTTGTCGATCCTGCAAAAATGTTGGACGGTTTTGACTCCCTTTTACAAAATAAAACCAGAGCTGCCCTTGCTTAATTGTACCCATTCGTTTTTTCTAGGAGTGTACAGATTTTGTTGACGGTTTGTGACATTCTCCTTACTGAATGCCGGTGTTGGGTGCGACGACGGAGCAGTCCTCGGTGAAGCAGGTTTTGATGGTGACGAGCTGCATGCCAGGCCAGATGTCACCCACGGCCCACCAGGTGAAATGTTCCGTCTGGTAGACCCACACAAGGCCCCCCTGGCCGTCCTCTTCAACGGTGCCGATGCCATCCTGTACCCATAGACCTGGAGAGGAAGAGAATACAAGTTTTAAAAACTTTAAAAGATTCATTGGATAGATTACAGAGTCCTCTGTCACATATAAAATCCTAAACAGCATGGTTTTCCATGTTGTACCTTTAAAACTAAAGAGGATAACAGATTCCATTTCAAAATAAATTTAACTGCAATTAAAAGTAAATGAAATACAAAATCTTCTTTCAACATTATTATTTGTACCATCATCATCATCGTCACCATCACATAAAGCAACCTAAACTATGTGTGATTCCCACCACGTACCTATAGAACTAGAGATGGAAATAAATTAATTTCATAATTCAAAGTCATCACGCTGCCATTCCAACTTATAACAGTTCTTGTTAATCTTGTATTGCAACTACATGTACGACTACGGTCTTTAAAGCACATTTCATAAACGTGCCTCTCACTAATTATCTACCAAACAATTTCCGCCAGTTAATTCAAAACAGAGTTGAATGGCATCGGAACAAACAAAAGAGTTTAAAATAGCGAAGCAAGCAAGCCGCAATTAGATTTTTCATATCAGTGTACACTTTGAATGATTCCTCTGCAGAACAATTGTGTTTTTCCGCCAATTCATCCGGTAATTTCCGCAATCCTGGGCTCTTCCTCTTTCTATTCCTTCCTTCTTTCATGGAGATGTTATTGGAGCTACATGAATGATGTGATTCATATAATACAGGCACAATATCTACTGAAAATAATTATTGACAGCTGCCCATATACAGTATGTATATGTATATATACGTTACAGACAGTTGTCCTTATTAAGTCCGTGTGCATGATCAACAGATGAAGTTGGAATATGTTTTTTCTTACCCCAATTTATGGAATTATTTTGACAATGATTTATTCCTAATAGATCAAGATAATAGTATACATTCTCAGATTTGATTGAATAATAATTTGCCAGTGTTTGATTTGCGTGACTGCTAAAGCATGTGTATGCTACTATGCTTATCAACTAGGGGACCTACGCCCTTAAGTCATAAATGACAGTAATGAGGATTAATGCCCCACAACAGGGCATTAATATAGCACATCGACAAGATTTTGATCCTGGGGCCTCACAGTTACGAGGACATTGCTTTGCCACTGAACCATGACTGTACGCAGCGGGGGCTAGGGTAGGGGGCAGTTCCCACAAATAAAAAAATAAAAAATAAAATGCAATAAATTATCAATAATTGATTGAATCCCCCCCCCCCCGGTCCCCAACAGAAAAAAATAATTCTGTGTGTCCAGGCCTTGAGCCATAATGCATGGCCCTACAGAAGATTTTTTATATTATATTATCTAGATCTAATAGGAATAAATCATTGTCAAAATAATTCCATAAATTGGGGTAACACAAAAAATATTCCAACTTTATGAGCAACATTCATGCACTTATTTTTTTTTAATTGAACCCTATCTTTTCTACAGATTCGAGAAAATCTGTAGATGTGGTCAGTTACGACTGATTGAAGGATTTGGGGTCAGTCACGATCAATCACAACTCTTTGAAAGATGGAGCCTTGTTTTGCTTCAACTTTATAAAGGATTCAGGGGGGTGTTTCACAAAGATTCTAAGTCAAACTTTACTCTAAATTGGACTTAAAAATTATGGAGAGCTATTTGTAGCCTTAAAATATTATATATTCAAAAACAAAAATTCAAGTATTTTAGACTTTTCATAAATTCCACAAGAACATGAAATCTCCCATGATAAATCCTAAAAATATAAATGATTTGAATCAACATTTTATGCCATTTGAAATACCTTTTACAAGATATTTTCAAGGATGCTAATGGCTTTCCATAATTTTTAAGTCCAACTTAGAGATAAGTTCAACGTATAGGATCTTTGTGAAACACCCCCAGAGCTCATTGTCCTCTAGTTTATATCCCGAGAATTTAAGCACCATAACTTACCGATAGCTTCATTGAAGTACCAAGCGGGAACGGTTGAGCCAACCATTCGTGGTTCAAATCGGTCTGACAGAGGAATACGTATCGTAGCTGATTCGGTCAGATCAACTTTCTCTCCGGTTTTTGAATCGGTAAGCTCGATTTCTGCAACAGCCAAAGCCTCTAGTCTAGCCGGACCGGAACCTGTTATATGGATAGAAATTGAATGAACGATTAGGAAAAAATGATATGAGTGTCACTATTTTATACACACGAAACGAACTCAACAAAGACTTGATTGAGAAGACGGGAGACAATATTTTGCCATGATGAAATAAGCTCCTTATAGTACCCAAGTCGATTTGTTGTAATGTGCATAACTTTTCGGAGATGTACCCCAAAAATATGACAACCATAATACGGACTTTATCATCTTATTCGTTTCAAAATAGGATTGGCGGTGTTGGTTTATAAATGGCAGATCACAAGCCAATGGTTTGAGAAGGTTTTGATAACATTCCGAACGTCAAAATTCATTAGACATGTTTGGAAGCGGGTCAAAAAGTCCAGAGAAAGCGGGCAGTGTCCGGACTCAACCCTCTCCTACCCCTGGTATGAAAGGGATATTATTTGACAGTGGATCCCTTCATTTCCACAGTTTTTCCTTCTTTTTTTAAAATGAAACATAACTTTGATAACTTACAGTAAATGTATACATTCTCTTTTGTAATTCAATTAATGATTTTCAAACATGCGTTAAAATTAATGTACATTGATTTCTGTTATTGAATTCCTGTCATAACTGTTTATATTGATTGTTCTGTTGGAAATGAAGATAAAACTGAAACTGATACTGAATAATACAACACCTTCAATTTACCTTGGTTTGACCTCAACTGTTACCCAGGTATCATATATAAATTCATCATGAAGTGCATTGTTTTAACGAAAAACTTATTAACAAACGATAATAAGAAAGACAGCACAATAGGGACAAACCTTGAGTTGCAAGCTCGGGAACGTTTCGTACATCCTGAGGGTTGCTCACATCAACGGTTCTTACACTCAGGCTGATCGTGGATCCTTCAGAAACATTCAGACCACCTAAAGAGCAGAAGATATGGTATTGGTCAGTTACGTTCAGGTTCTCGATTCGTAGCATTTTCATACTATACTGCAATTCTCCCCCCCCCCCCCCCCGAAAAAAAGGGATTCTGGCGAAAGGGCAGCAATTCAAGGGGGCATGCCAGCTGAGAAACATCCTGTATATTTCTCACAGCAACGGTTCGTACATTCAGGTTGACTTATGACCCTCGAGAAACAGTGTAAGCCAGAAACTGAAAATTCATGTCTGTTTGGTGTCGCAAAGTTTTCCACTAACACGGTGCATGACTTAAAAAAGCATATATTTTATGTAATTAATAATATCATAATAATTTTGTTTACCAAGAGAAGCCTCATCAACATTAATGCTTTTCTTCCCAAGGGCCATGCATTATTATACAAATAATACACAGCTGTGAGGGCATTAGTTAAAATTATCGCCTCGGGCGTGTTAGACTGTTACAAAGGTACCGAGTGTGGGTAATTTTACTAATGCCCGACCAAAATGATGTGTATTATTTGTTTTATAAGATGATGTTTTATTTGTTTCATAAAATTATGTTTTATAACATGACCTGTCATTAGTATTTGCTAATGACCGGTCATTGGTAAAATTACATGTTAGGCTAAATAAATGCCTGGTCACGTGTACGCTCTCAACCAATCATTTGATTAGGATCCGCTTCATCATCTTATAAATATTACATAACAAAGCAAACGGAACTGTATACTCACGTGCTGGTATTTCGACCTGGAGTTGTCCATCGGGTGTGTTAGGGTCTGTGAAGGTGAAGGTTCGAGGTCGAGGTTGAGGGTAGGGGAATTCTGCTCCATCGTTGTGCCTGGTCAGTGTCAAGGTCACTAGGTTATCTGTTTGGGAAATAAGAAAAAGAAAGTGATTTAATTGTCTATATATTTTTTAATGAGAATTACATGATGATAAATATCGAATCGACAAGGCGAGGTAGAAAAAAGCTTCAGAAAATCAGACATCACATTGAGCAATACAAAAAGGGAACAACTTTGAAATACAACTAATAAAAGTTTAAAACGTGACTTGTTTTTTCATATTGTCAGATGCGACTTATTTTTCTCCGGGCTTCGTGGCAGGGTGTGTCTTCATTTTCATCATTTGACACTGATTGTGGACATTTGCGTTCCCGACACAGCACACAATTCTAGGGCAGCAAGGGTTCACATCAAGTGGTTCAAATGCAGATAAATTAATCTGTGTCGATACTGGGAAATAAATCCATTGGTATCTGGTAAAAGGAATGTGATTAAATATCTGCAAGATTTAGACGAAGTACGTATTAAAGACGCCCTCGGTGATTGTGGAGGTGTTTCGTCTTTAGCGGTCGTTCACCCTTGTGAAAAAAAAAGGAAAACAACCCTGGTATATAAAGTTTGAGGCGGAACCAGGATTTTGACAAATGGGGGAGGGGGGCAGAGGGCAGGGAAAATTGGTTGGAGGTGTATCATAGTGGTATAGAGTGGTTTAAGAACCGTGGATGGACATGCAAAGGTTGTGGGTCAGAGCCCTCGGGCGGCCCAAATATCCTTTGGCAAGGCATCTAGTATAACTTAGCCCCTCTCTACCCATGAAAGAAATGAGGACCAGGTAGGATGCACGCCCCCCCCCCCCCCCTCCAGTCAAATAACGACATCAGGGATGGGAAACAGAGGGAAAAGGGGAAATTGGCACAGGAAAGGAAAGGTAAGGGTGTTAAGATCGTCCCCCATACCCCCCACAAACAAAGACCTTGTTCGTTTGCATTTCACCCTCAAAGGAATGCCGGTGCCCCACCACACCCCCACCCCCCCCCCCCCCCCAGATGATAAAAATGAGGTCGGTGCCCTCTCAATATCTAGCCTAACTCTAAACCATTGATCTTGGCAAAAGTAGGCATACTTGTAGACAGACGTTAGTATTATGAGATTTATAAATCCATATCATCATTTTAAATTTTTATTATTATGATTGTCTTCATTCTAATATGAAGATTTTATAGGATTTTCGTTCAATTTCGGAGCGACCTAAGAAAAGTTAGGTGCTTAGTATGAACAACGCATGACGTGAATGCGAGGTTCATGAACTCCAAAGTATAAAGGACCCCTGTAGAAAGTATGTTCATTATTTTAAAGATGAAATTGGGATCTGAGCCTGCGATTCCATCGTGAAATGAAATTGAGAGTGTCTTGGAAAGGTTGCTTCGTAAATAATATCTGGTGCGCACTGAGCGGTTTTGGAATTATCATATTGATAAGAAGAGGACTCGGTCTTGCTAGATGTCACAAACACTGCACACAGAAATATATATATATATATATAGGACTACACATGCGTATGGCATGGACGATTTGTCGGGGGATTTTTTTTTGTCTTCTTCCAGATATCCATCTTCATATTTCGAGATTGAGGGCAGCTGAAGAAAAATCTTTTTCAGAGGACAAAAATTATTCTTTCAAACTGACATAATCGATTGCGTAGCTCCCAAATTATTCAACACCTTTAACAGAAGTTACAGAACTCAACCTCATCTCTAAGCGTATTAAACTATAATTTAATGACTATTGAGTCTTTGAAAATCTCGTTCTAGGGGATATCTGTTCGATGAATTATGCAATGTTATACCATGTAGGTGTCATAACTGGCATTTTTTATTTAGATGCAGACCGGTTCGTATCATCGGAAATGAATGGTTGCGAGATGAAGATTATCATTAATGAGAGAGGTCATGGCCTTTCCCTCTCTTACTGCATTTTTAATTCTTTGTTAATGAAATGAAAGAGATTAAAGAATATATAGGCTCTGATAGCGGTAATTTTCTTTTGATAACATGTTTTATGAAAACAAAAGGCCCAGGTTCGTTTCAGGGCATCGTTTCACGAGGCTGCCATCGACATCAGGCATCTCGCCCAAGATGGCGGTGTTCTGTCTTCACCAATTCTGTTCATTGAAAAATCCTAATTTCTCATATTTGTGTATTTTCTTTGTGTGCTTAAAAGTGATGATTTAATCAAATGTCTGAAAATGTGTCAATACATGTACATTTTTTTCCTGTAATATTCAATTATTTTGTATTTACGTTATTTAGCTCATAAATACATTCAAACGAACAAATAACCCGTCATAATTACGAGTTCACCGACATGTTATTGAAGCGCGTGTTAAATGTAATTTCATACATGCGTTGCAATGGGTTGTCGGCGAATTTAATACTTAATATTTATACTCATGGCGGTTACGTGAAAAGCTGCTCAGTGGTCTAGGTGTCAATTGTGAGCATGCGATATCTATTATCACCCCTCCATGACTTTTCTCGCTGTTCTTAATGCGAACAGTGAACTAGCCGATCTAATAAGCAATCATGAATGAATAGATAAAATATGCAATGTCATGATTATGTTAAAAACGTGATCCTCGTTTGGTACACACATTTTTAATGAACCCCATTAGAATGAACCCCAAAACTTTCCACGTTCATGTGAGTCACTTTCATCAATTTAAGAAGAAGAAAAAATTACTCATGCTTTCTCCGAGTATCCGTTATCTCTTCTTTTTAATGAACTTAACAATGAGTACCTTCCGTAGTAGTATTTTAATACCACGTCATATAAACATTACGAAGGAGGTAAATAATTAATGTGTATAGGTGCGTACTAACTTCCGATGGGCCTTGCATATCGTTTAAAGACACTTGGTGCAATACGCAGAAGCACAGAAGATGATGGAGTGCCGTACAGACGTAGGGTATTTCTGAAGGCGTTTGACATTTGTTTCTTACAAGAAAGAGAACTTCACATTCGAATACTCAAAGATAGCTTTTAAGAAGTGGACATTCGTTTTTTTTCATTATGAAAAAGAGACAATTCAACATTTCAAGGTGACATAAAATGGTCTCATTACTTTGTGCCAAAATGTCATCTGCTTGAGAATAGTAAAGTTGAACAAGCAAATTGAAATAAATTTCTTTAAAATAAAAAAATTGGCTCTTATTTCGAAGAAAAGTACATGTAATTACCTAAAATATTAATTTTTGACAAAAGCAGTGACTACATGTTTGTGTGTTGTTTCTGTTTTGGTAATAACCTCGTTGTCCATAACATGTAGGTTAACATTACGTAATAACCCAAATAACGTGAAGTTACCTTCAAAAAATCATAAGCGTGTGTATAATACATGGCATATATATTCTGGTAATCCGATTAGCTTTTCCCCTGCCATACCAGTTGCAACCATAATGGCACCAACATAACATTAGTAACATTAAGATGATTCCTCCCAGCGATTTGAGTGGCCTTGCATTAAATCATTTTAGAAGAGAAAACATTGATGTGAAGATGATTAATCAGTATACTGTTTTGCAACACACGCACACAAGCAAAACAAAATTAACAGCTATTTTTTATTGAATATTGACGCCTTCCATTAACCCCTGTCATTAGTTTATTCTATAACATGGCAATCTATTGCATGTTTCCTTCTCGAATCCACATAACGCATTATTTTTTGTTTCGTTTGATATGAAAACTCATTATGACAATGATTTTGTTGTTGTTAATTGGCGATGCCAGTGGTCATCTGGTACAATAATCAGCTTACTGTGTCCTAATTGTTTTCTTCTTGCATTTACGTCAGCTTATTAAAAAGAGATCGCCGCCATACATGTGGGCGGAATAATAACCTCTGGAGGAGAAAATTGAGTTTTAATAACCTTCACTCTTAAAGAGAAGGTTGAGTTCTGGTCAAAAAAGGAAAAGTAATTTGGTGAGGTGTCTCTTTCTTCGAGTGTCACTTTGGAAACGTATTATAGTAGGAATGTCCCCCTGAAAAATGCCCTTTCATGACCCTCATATGATGAGAAATAGAAGCAAAGTTGGACCAAAATTCCATGTAATAGGTGTAGTCCATAAGTCCAATACCCCTACCTATGTGCGCTGTGAAGGTAATTGCACCAAGAGTGATTCCAGGATTTGTTTTTCTTTGGATGATTCCAAAACCATTACTTTGATCCTATTTCACTGGTAACACCCAGTAATTTGAGCAGGTCCATTTGAAATGGGTTTCTTTTAGCACAACTCAGGAAAAGCGTTGACCAGTGGCATAGTTAAGGAAGGGATGGGGAAGGGGTGCAATTCCCCCTCCCCCTTCCTCCTCCAATCAAATGGTGAAAGAGGAGAGCGTTGAGAAAAAAAGAAGGAGATGGAGGGGTAATTAATTATTTTTCAAAAGGTAATCAGACTCCATCCATCATAACTAGTAAGGCAATTACCCACCCCCTTCCTCATGACAGCACCCCTTGAATTGCTTCACCCATGCTACGCCACTGATTTAAACCAGGCTGTACTTACTTTCGTTGTTGCGGACGTTGAAGGTGGTCGATGCGGTCGGGTGTCCCGTCTTGCTGGCCACCACCACGATGTTGGCGTCGTTGGGGACGGGGAGCTTGGCGATGCCGTTGGCTCCGGTGAAGGCCTGAGCGAACTCGGTTCCGCCGTTGGTGACGTCCAGGGATCGGACCTTGACGTCGGCCACGGGTGTGCCCCCCATCTGTTCCAGGACAAGGATCGTGACGTCAACGTTCGAAGCTAGAGAGAGAGAGAGAGAGAGAGAGAGAGAAAGAGAGAGTGGGAGAGAGAGAGGGAGAGAGAGAATTGGATATATGTTATTATATATCACCTGTGAAGAAAATTTAGACGTATTTTTGTACTTTCCTCAAGTTACGGTTGCAATTTAGAAGCTTCAAGCTATATAATCAAGATTCAAGATAATTCATTGTCATGTAAAAAAACCACTATTTTTTCGGACCTTTGAAGGTGCATACATGTAAATAAATACATAAATACATACAAAATAATTACATTTTAACATGACATTTAACAATCATCAATCATCAAAATTTAAATTTGGTTGCATGAAAAGAATAAGATCATACTGAACGAGGCAGTGTAATTTAAAAGATTATTCAATAATGTGTAGTAATTCAACAAGGGGTCCACAATTTACAATCTCTGCTTTTTCAGATGACCTCTCCATTTCCTCAAAATATAAATGCGGTTAAAGTTAAAAATTCAATTTTTGTCTTCCTCAATTGTACAAAATACTATTAAGATTTGTTTATTACAAATGTAACTATGTTTTGTATACATTTTACATTGTATTCGTTATTATGTATCGTATTTTGTTGTAAATGAAAAAAAAATGATATGAACAAGTGGATTGGAGCCCTTACCTACGCAGGTGACGCCATCACCGACATGTCCTGGCGGACAGGGGCCGCATTCATACCTCTTGGCCTCCTCCTGGCTGGTGTAGTCCAACGTGTTCACATTGATCCTGAGGTCATTGCACCTAACGCCTTCGAAACAGGGGTTCTGCGCACAGGTGTCACGACCTGACCGAACATAAATGAACAAGAACAGTAACGAAACGTTTCAAAGAATGCACATTTTTTTCATCTTCTCTTTCACATAATACTGTAGAAAATAATTACCAGGACCCCGTCTTATAAAGTGTTGATATCAATCGCAACTATGTACATAAGACTGCAACCCTGCGATTGATTGGAGGGCTTGCGATTGATTTGGATCAATCGCAACTCTTTGTAAGATGGGGCCCATATGTTGTTGTTTAACAATCAAAGGAATCTAATCAAATCTGTTGGAGGGGGACTTTGGGAGATTCATATTGTATATGGGCCATAAGCTCCAATTTGCGCTCGTAGTAAGAACGATTTTATGTCAGAAAGCACATTAAGGTACACAAATATGGGGACGCTGAGGGTAATATCGCCCCCATCCCCCCAAAAAAATGAATATACTAGATTTATTTTCTAAAAAACATGCAAACTTTGTTGGCAAAAAATAGATAAATCAGTATTGTAAATATATCGGCACATTTACTTGGGCTGCCCATCCCCCACCCCTGCCTTGCCCCCTCCCCCCCAACCAAGAAAAAGCTGGGCTACGCCATCAAGTAGACTTACCAAGCGTGAGACACTGCTCTCCCGTTCCTATGTAGCCAGCATTACAGACACACGCGAAGCCGCCCGGTTGATTCTCACATCTAGCGTTGACATTGCACCTATCCCTGTTCGATTGGCACTCATTATCATCTGGGGATCATAATCACAAAATATTATTGTGTCAAAGACGGTCGTAGAAGTTATCAATCGATTTATTAATTTTCGTTATAACCAATTAAATGAACCATGTTCACGTCATTCAACAACATCTTTAACAGTTTGTTTCTGGAGAAAAAAAAAACATTGGTCTTAAGTTTTCTGTTATTCTGGGATAAAGAATCTGGATTTAAACATGGGATTCAAATATTTTAATTTTGGAAATTAATGGAAGGAAAATTCAGGAGAAAATTAATCATAACTAAATCATAGAGATAAAAAATCACAATGACGTAATTCATATGGAAGGCCGGTCTTACATTAGAAAATTAATTAATTAGAGATGTTTCTATAGACAGTACTCTATAAAAGAATATTCCGGTTACGTCATATAAATTGGATGTGGGCTTATAAGAAATAAGAATGGTACTAACGTAATTTTTGAAAGGCTTTTTTCCAGACAGAAAAGATAATTAAGTAATAAGCTTTCGGGTAATACGCATCAACCGCCAGAAAAAAATTCGTAGAAAAAAAATACAATTCCATCATATGGTATCATATTATGCCCGAAAGATTGATGGACATTATTAAAAGTAAATTGTCGAATGTCGCAAGATTTGTTTGGGGTGGATACCGAGAATTGGCACATTCGATGTTGTATGTATACATACCTGTTATAAGGGAGCTCCGTGTAAGCTTGTGAATTGGGAAAAGAAACTGCATGCATATATCTTACTTAGTCACTGTTTTGATCAATGTCAGCATACGGTAATACATACTGTAATTTCACACACAACATACACAAACAAACACAAAATACTTAACATGCACGCACACAAGCACGCACACCCACACAATAACGCCAACATGTTTTTCTGTTTTCTTTTGTTTGGACGTTTGCCAATTTCAGCATCATTCTTGATTCCGCCATGAAATCAAATTCTGATTTATTTATTTTTCTCCAAAAAAAATCAACTTTCAAATAATCATTTACAAATGAAATTGTTTAAAAGCAAAAACTACACTAAGTAATTCTCTCTCTCTCTCTCTCTCTCTCTCTCTCTCCCTATCTCTCTCTCTCTCTCTCTCTCTCCCTCTCTCCCTCCTTCTCTCTCTGTTCGTCAATAGCGACAAAAAACAGACAACGCGATTTTAATTACTGTATAGCTCTCCGCAATTTCATCCTTGACCTTCAAAAACAATCTATTCAAACATTGTGGTAAACCAAAGAAGAAAAGGGAGCACAAATTCACTCTGATGCAGTATAATTAACTGACATTAACAATTATCATGATCATGACAATACTGTTCATTATCAGCATTTGATAAAAGGACGATGCATTATTACCGAGAGACATTTAGAAGTTTGGTTTATGAATAAGTCATTTCCATTTTATATCCTACGCTTTGTTTTCTACTCATATGTCATGTCGATTTTCTTCTCTTATTTTACTTTCTCTCTTTAATCTCTCTCTCTCTCTCTCTCTCTCTTTCTCTCACATCCATCCTCACACCCACACATACACACATACACTCTCTATATATCCGCTTTCATTTCCTCCGCTTTCCTTTCCTCTTTCGTTTCGGTTTTTCTATCTTCCCTCTTTCTCTTACTCTTTTTCTCTCATCCATTTACGTTTCCTCTCTCGTTTTACACATACACCCTTATTTTCTTTAGATTGGTTTCCTTTTCTTAGATCCTACAAATGACGTGAATAGAATTTAACTTAATACATTCGCCATGGTATACCACTACATACCTATAAGCCGTCAAATCTGTAGTCGTCACTAATTCATTGATATTATCGTCCTGTCCAATTTTTAAATCCATCCTTGTTTACCGTATCTATAATGTAGACATGGCGTCAATATTTATCTGCACCGCACAACCACAGAAATACACAACCGTTGCTTTTACAAGGGGCGTCAAAATATTCAGCAGGCTCGCGAAGAAATAAATACGCACTATTTACATGATTTTAGTATGTGGAATGGACAAGGGAAAGTGGCTTAAATGAAATATTGATCACGATTTTACTATGACGTAAGACAAGGTTGCAATTTGGAGGAGTATCGCTAACGCCATTTCTTTCCAAGCGAATAAATCGCTCCAGGGTATCCAATTGTCACAACACCTTTAACGGAATGGAAAACGTGTAATCTGACACCCGAAGATGAAGATTTGGTAATTGTGGAAAAGAATGGAAACCCAAAAGGCCTCTATCGTATTAAATTTTGTGATACGTTTCTTTCATAAAAGAAAGCACCCGCATACTTTCTTCATTATTAACGATAGTAAGAGAATGACCAATTTCGAGTTTTTCTATAAGTAGCATAACCATTTTCTTGAATGTAGTGAGTGTGATATCTTATAGGGACTTTATTTATACTGTATTTCTCTCCTTGGGTGTATCCCGGAAACGAAAAATGCATATTCATCCAGATATAATCTCCAGTACACTGTTTAGAATTGGAGGAATGTCGATTGGACATTTTGAAGTGGGGTGTCCGATAAGGAAGAAGGGAAAAAACTATTGTTTTTAGTTTTCCGTTACAGGTTACCCAATTTTCTACACCAAACAACTGCTGTTGGGGGCGGTTGGTGTTTCTCGTTAGTTCTTTTACATTTTAACTCATACCTATTTTAGACAGAAAGGCTTTTGACGGGAATTTGACAACAGAGAGGCAGAACTCTCTTTCGAACCTAACAGGTGAGCCTTGTGTCTTATTATCACAGAGCCAAGGTCACCGCTTGTTTGGCATGTATCGGGAGAAACCTCAGCAGTTGTCTTAATTGATAATTCCACAATGAACGGTATTTATAGGTGTGTCAAGGACAGTTGCTGAATGTTCAAAGTTTTTTCTTCAAACTATCACGAAAATCGATGTGCAAATCATGCAGAAAATTAACTGCAGAAAATTCGGGGAAGTGGTCTCTATACCCCCCCCCCCCTCTCTCTCTCTCTCTATCTCTCTCTCTCTCTCTCTCTTGTTATCTCCAATTCTACTACCTGGCTTCAGTACAGACAAGATGATTACTATTTTGCTTAAATCGTTCTAATAATAATTATTTCGTAGCAATTATTTTTTAAAGTAAATAGTCACTCACTTTGGGGTAATATTGAAATGATTTTTGGCTACGTTTTGTTCATTCATGAATGTTACAAAACACGGAGCTGCCGGGTGAAATATTTCTCCAATATGACATTTTTAGAAAATTTCGTTATTAACATCAAGAAGGTAAAAGAAAACGAGTCTACTTTAACATCTAGTAACATAATGTTTCTATTAAAACAAACAGATTTTTGCACAAATGCACAATTAAAACTCCTTCATATTCGTTTTTCTCAGTCAAATAAAAAAAAAAAAAACTTTCATGCCGAATGTTTGAAAGCAGGCCCAAGTTTTGAGCACTTGTTATTCGGGCTTGATTGCTTACCGTCGTGATCGTTTCAAGCCTGTCTGCGTTTGTTTTTCCAATGTCTGGACGTAAGGGCGGGGGATAGGAAGAGAAGTTGTTACGAAAAAAGAAAATCGTTACAAGTTCTTTTTTTTTTCTTTTTTTGCTCCATGGCTTACCTGGATGATGACGTCATTGTATGATGTTGCGGTTATTGTTCTTTTCCTGCCTGGCACGAAGTACATGACAAGGTTGAGGTAAACGACTCTGTGTTATATACCACCCTATTGTTTAATTAAGCGTCTATAGCTTGAATAAAATTCGTTGGATTTTGCCTTACATTTCCATCCGTTTAATACAATGTGTTTCTTACACGGATTAAGCCGTACCGTAATAATGATTAAAGTTTCAGTCGTTTTTTCTTTGTTTGGTTGGTTATTTAGCTGTTTACTTTATTTATTTGTTGCATTCTAATCTCTATAGTTTAATTTTGTCCATGATAACATACGTAAAAAATATGAACAAATGCATATCCCAGACGTAACGCTATTGTATTGTATTCACTCTATAAATGATCGCATTTAGTGTATAAATGTACATCAACACATCAAAATCACATTGTTTTTAATTTTCATTGCTCTATACATTTCTATGAGAGAACATTTTCTATGCATTTCAATAAGAGAAAAGAGGGAAGAACTGGCCACAATTCAAATAACAAGATTTCAATGTTATTTCATCAGCGCAAGAGAATTCAACCGATTAAGACATTTCAACCATCAATAACTTGAACAAATGCCAAAGCAGAACGAATTTGTAAGCAAATATAGTTCTCGGCAAAGTTGCCTTTAATTATGTACCTTAAATACTCATTGATATCATACAGTGTGCACTACACATATCAATATACACTACAGCATTTTCTATTTCAAGTACAGTTCTGTGGTATTATACAATGTTTACAACAAACGTAAATGTATTCACTCAGCATCGTATGATAAAGCAAAGTCAGTTGCTCGAAAATTAGACCTTTTGGGCCCGTTGCATAAAACTTACCACTGGTAAATTTTCCATCAATGGCAACTACTATGGTAACAGGGCTCAACAGCTAATCGAAATCAAGGTTGCCATGGTATTTACCATTGATGGCAAAGTTACCATCAATGGTAAGTTTTGTGCAACGAGGCCTTGGTTTAAGGCAGGGAATTTCGTCAAATGAACAATATACATTGTACGTACAAGGACAGTGCAAATTTAGAAAATGGGACAGCTTAAATAGTTAAGAATTCGAAACGACACAGAGCCTGCAACCAATTTTGAATTTCGATTTGCAAATTGACCCAGCTCTAGATACATTCTAGTAAGAGCATCGTGAGATTTGAGCAGAAAAGTAGCTATTTTCAGCACCTAGATGGCTGGATATACATGAATGTATAAATTGAACAAGAAAATAAATTGAACATACTTCATACAGCAGCAGGAGTACTTCAAACTCTATTACCGGGATTTCAGGAAACCACGAACGGTTGTTCTCATGAGCAATCATTTTCTACTTCTCTGCTCTCTTACATAATTATGAAGGAAGTTGAAATCCGAAAGCGGCTGTTTTGTCGTAGGCCTACACTAGATCTGCTTTCGGATTTTCTTTACCCGCCAGAAAAGGAAATATACACGAAGCTTTGAATTGTTTTTAAACAGCCCAAACCAACTTTTAAAGTAAGAGGTTATGTTAAAATGATGTTAAAATTCGAGATCCGTGGACATCTGATTCGGTTTAACTCCATTCCCCAACATAATATGCAACATAAGTTTCATAGTTTGATGCCCAATACCCTTTTTTAAACGTCACGAAATAAAAAGTTATAATTCACTACATCGACAGCAAAGTAAATAACAACTGATATGTAGCTTAGTATTGTTTAAAGAATGAAATACATATGCATTGAGGAAAACTATCCTCGTTTGCCTGTAAACCCATATTTGCTCCATTTGTGTCTTTCTTTTTTCTTTTGTCATACACCAAAACTAAGGTTAAGAATATCATCGACTCGAATCTGAAATTGGACTACATTAGAACGTACAAATACCGTACACTCACGCTTAACAAAATTAATCAACAAAGAGAATGGTGAATTTAATGGACGTCAAATTGATCAGAAAAATTGTAGTTTGTAAGTTTGTGCAGACCAGCAACAATACGAACACAAAACAGAGTATGTGGATGTACAGAACATCGAATGGTTACGAAATAACTAGTTTTTTGTTTAAGGGATATATGCATCATGCATAAAGCATATTGAACAAAAACAAACAAAGGGGACAGAGAGAGGAAAACAGTTGCAAGAAATACGAGATCCACGTGAATATCACAAATATTGACGAATAGAAGGTTAAATGTTTGATAGATGTTGATAGTTAACTTCCGGTCTGACCTCGATGAATATACTAATTCCGAGTCGCATTGCTGTTACTGACGCAATGGATTCAAGATAGTATTGACGCAATGGGTTCACCCACGTGCGTCAAACGCAGATGTTTACGAATCCAGTGTGTCTAGCCGTGCCCGTTGCACGTGAGACGTCATATTGGTTGACGGAAGACTGCGTCAGCAACTTGCTCGGTATTTGACGCCCCAAGCGAGTGTGATTCCATACAACATTTGAACCAAAGTACACAATGCAACCGTTGCGTTGAACCGCTCGCGCGGGTTGATTAGCGCAGTTGAAAACGCAATCAAAATGTCGCCTCCTGATCAGGGGTCATTAGAATTATTGAAAAAAACTGCCTTGTCAATGATTGCGCCTCCTGTAACCAGCTTGCTGATTTTTGTTCAGTCCTTTAGAAAGAAGCTATTTAGATTTTAAAGAGTAATATGCTGGAGCTTCCAATATTGAAAATAAAATGCGATGAGCATTCATCATACCGGCAACATCTCAAAATTAAGTTAAAATGCCTGCGAGTCACAAAAAGGGTTATAAACTACTTCGCTATGTTTTCGATTCATAAAATTCATTTCAGCCTGGCTATGGGGTACATCTAAAGCAGTGTTTTTAATTACAGCAGCAAAATAAAGAGAATATATACATTTCTGTTTAAATATTTATTTTTTTAAAGATTTTTTGTTTAAGAATCTGGCGTTAATAGGAGTATTTGAAGAAGCCTATAAAGCTGGAATATGGACTAATAATAGCCCTATACCTAAAATAAATAGGGTCATATAGAGCCACATATATTATTGGAAATAATAAGATAAATCACTGCAACAAATATATGCAAAGATCTTGACATTAGTTACTGTTTGACACGCATAAACCGACTACAAAACCTACGACATGCACTGTTATTTCATGGCAAGTTGGTTAATTGATTATACAATATTGTATTTCTATATATTTACAATCAATTATAAAAATCAAATTAATTAAACAACAATTCCAAATCTGTAGATTTGGTGCAAATATTAAATTCTCCCCAAATCTACCCTTTGTATAAATCGTTGAAATCATCGTGAAAATGTTGATACAAAGACAGGTTGAAACAAGAAAAAAATATAAAGAATTAAATCGACATTCTTTTTTCGAAACAAAAGAACAGGAGCATATCGCTTAGTCAAATTTAAACTTTAAATCATAAGTTGACAAGATTGCAATCTATTTTTATTTAACTACAGTTCTTGTTTCATTATCCATGGTTTCGGTCAAAAGCTGGAGGGTCATAATAATTATAGCTGTTATTTCAAAGCGTGCTAATTCAAGTTTAGATCAACGGCGTTCGCCAGTAGCTGCTGCTATTAGTTCAACATCAATATCGGACCTACCGTCGTAGTCAGCCTCGTTTTCACTTTGACCGACTGGTTTATCCAAAATCAGGTGATGGCATTAAGAGAAAGTAATGAAAAAAGACATATACAATTGTGAAATATGCAATAATTGAGATTCTTCTGGTCAAATAATGCAATGTTTAAGGTGTCGATTCCATATCAAGGTAATATGGAAAGTGAACAAAAAAAAACTATCACTTGGAGAACTGTACCTATATGTATGCTGAGCAAGGCACAGCAGAATGCATGAACATCACTCTTTCACTCTAGCACCCAATATGAATCCATTACCACACGGTCTTCAACTATTTCGACAAGTTTTCGACACACCCACCACACTTACGTAAAACAATCACACACAAAACAGCGAAATAGTCTGATACTGTTGCCCATATATCGGTACAACAACACCCGCAAAAACAAGGTAGATGTGAATAGTATTGATGTAAATGGATGAAAATATTTTCGGTCCCATGTTTGTCAAAGTGACATGTCAAGACCATTGAGGGGAACCACAGACATTGGAAAATGCATGAAAACGTTCTCAACAATCTCACTCAGTGCAAGGATTAGGGGATCCATCACTTAAAAATGGTTACCTCCCTCCAGTTCTCCTTGGGATATATTCAGGTTTCCCCCTTCCTTAATCAAAACTGCTGCAACCACTACAGCATCATGCTCTCTCACCTTTCTCTCTCTCCGTCTCTCGATTTCGCTCTCGCTCTCTCCATCTAAGAAATATGTCGATGCCATTGATTTTGCACCAGGTTTGCGCTGACATATTTGCTGTCCAGACGGTAAGCAAATTCTCAAGGAAATATTTCTCAACACTCCAGGATATTGTGACCGTTTAGGTTAGAGAACGAAGATGCGATTCCGCTCTCGTAACGATGCCAGATATTTCATCGAGCCAAGATATATGCTGGTGAGACCTCACACAGTATGGACAGCAAGATAGCAGGACACAATAGTACAACCATTCATACAATCACCCCCACTCGGTCCACGGTTACCGCTCCATGTCCCAACAGCATGCAAGCCTCTATCCTACTTACCACTCACACCTGGGTCGATCTTTCGCAAAGGGAAATACCCTTCCAAAAGCCGAAAGATGCAAAATGTTCTGATTCCCATTTGAAACGTTTAAGAATAAAAGGGTCTGATAGTCACTCACCTACACACGTTAGTTTTCCACTGACATATTGATATTTATATCCTTCGGGGCACAGGCAAAGGTAGTTTCCGTATGTGTTGGCGCATCGGCGACCGCGTGGGCATTTCGCTAAACCTTCCTCGCATTCGTTAACATCTTTAGAGAAGAAGAAAGAGATAAACAAATGATTAAACAAGATATGTATATAGAGCGAGATAGAGAGAGAGTGATAAAATATAACTAGATGTATTACATAAATACATAACGATGCGGAATCATAAACATACGACAAGCCCGAATAATGACTAGAGACCACGATACCTCTAGATTTGAAATGAAATACCAGCTATCACTATGATCATGACGGACAAAGAAAGAGGACAAAATATACAGTTTCTCATTCTACCCCAACAATTGCTGTGGTGGACAAAGGAACATCCCTCTACTGATATTATGTAAAAATGTGTAGAACAGGTGAATATGCATGTGACACCTGTTCTACACATTTTTTACATAATAGCAGTGAAGGGATGTTCCTTTGTCTACCACAGCAATGGTTGAGGGTAAAATGATGAACTATATATTTTGTCCTCTTTCTTTGCCCGTCATGTTCATAGTGTATAATAACCTATCATTGTATTAATATCTGTTGCGAGTAATTGTTCATTTTCAATGGTCAGTGTAGTTACACCATAAAACAGGGGGAAACATTCAAAGAGCGCCATAAAAGAGGGCTGTTTATTTCAGGGGGAAAAAAATCGGTACAGTACATTTTCATCTTCTCATAAACAGGAATTGAATAGTGCATTTTATGTAAAGAGTTCAACCATATGTCTCATTGACATCTATCAACAGCCTTCGGAGCTATTTTGTTTATGCAACATAATGATTGAATGTGGCTCTGTTTCTGTACATCATGTTTTAATGCCATGACTCAAACATTTCCTCTCTCTCGAGTTGTCACGAGATGTCACATGAATGGGAAATGAATTCACAAGATAATTGTAATGTTGGTACGTGGTACAGATGTGAGGGGTGGAGTGCTAATGATTTCACTTTTCCCAAGCTTATGAAAAGATAGCAGCCCATCTTTGGTCCTAGGATGATGAATAAATTAACTTTATTACTCAAGTTATTAAAGTCTGTCATTTTTTTATTAAGCATTCAATGGTGGGGGGTTGCAAGGGAGGCACTAATGTGATATTTCAAAGAACCCCATTTTACATTATGATCTATGTGCTTAAAAATGCTAATAATGAGTATAGATTTTTAATTGATACAAGATGGTACAGCTGGAACCTTCTGCCATGAATCTCCGTTAATCTTTCAGAAGTAACTAAAACGGTAGTATCGGCTTTTAACAATTGATCCCTATGCGATGTGGAATGTAAATACACGTAGGTACGCATATATCACAATGATAAACATTATCCTTCTCAAATATTTTTGTATAGCTCTCATAAATGTATTTTTTGTTTCAAGACACAAATACGGATTTAGTAACCACTCTTAAATCCAGGGACATATGGAATCCAGATTGTGCTTGTGCATCAGATCTCATACACCCATTACAACAAATCTTCTTCTACCCCCCCCCCCCCCACCTCTCCCAGTTTTGAAACCGTCCCTGTTCTAGGATGATGAATCATGTCACTGACACGAATGTTCACGACTTATAATGTCATGAGACTGAAAACAATGATCCGTTATTTTCAACCATCATCACAGAACGTCTGCTCTATTCTGTTCTAATGCTTCTATGGATTCCCAGCGGTTTAGGGTTGTTGCTTCTAGGGGATTGTCTGGGAAGCTGCTGGCTGTCATCACGTTGGCGAGTCCTCGGGTAACTGCTTGGCCGCAACTCGATACACCCACCACCAGACAAATCTCCTCGACGCATTTCCGTGTAACAAACCGAACGGACCTGGGGAATTGGTGAGGTCTTTGAGAGACCCTCAGAGTTCAGCTAACAGACATACCCGCAGACTAACTGCCTCAAGTACAGGACCCGCCAACCCCTAAAATACCCGTTCCGCCCAACTTCTTTAATCGCATCCTTCCGGGCAAGGCGACTCGACGAAATGTGCCGCTAGACTTGAACCAGGGAGAGGGTCTTTGAAAGTTCAGTCCTAAAGTTACTATGAACATTTCCCGACCTCACCTGAGGGACTTCCATGTCCGCCAAACCAAGAAGTTAAGTTTAGCTCGCATGGTTTGTGGTGGAAAGAAGTGAGCATGCCTAATCGGTTTTAAACACAGTTCAAAACTCATTAGGCTGTTGATCACAAACATGGTTCGGATGTGTTTCGAAATAGGCATGATGCCTTTTCCGAAAGTACAACCGTATAAAGAATGGATCGATGAACGTGCTCATTAGTCAGCTCGATGTTCGTAAAAAGTTGTTTATTTGAGGACTCGATTTGTTACGGGACAAATAGGAAACATCCTTGTGCAATAGTGACATGTTTTTATTTCTACTTTGACTAACTGGATTCACTGTGTTGCCGATTTACTAGTTCATGTGCTATCCAAACTAAAATCCCCTTTATGATACTCCTCACTCAAATAACGAGCGAAGAAGGTTCGTTATGAGTGCTGTGAATTATAGCATTATAGTGTTATTTTCCCCTCACGTATCTTGACAAATCCACACCAAATAATAATTATTCTGAACTATTACATGCAATGGCGTATGGATGTGGGTCCAGTATTTGATAGTGCGCAGTTCATGAGACGAAATACGACAAAGATTTGTTAGTTACAGGGCCGCTGATCTTTAAGTTATTTATGATTTCAATCTTTCTGTTCCATTTTCTTCGTCTTTTCTTGGCATTCGATCGGCGGCCCCTTTTAGCCCCCACCCACTGGCTTCCGCGCCACGCCACTCCGTAGTAGAAGACACCCATTGACATAACTGAGGTGGCCCTGACCTCCCAAAGATACGTATCACTCAAAACGCCACTTCCTTCACCAATGTTTAAAGCGTTATATTTATCATTGATTACGTGCATCATTAGGAGGGCATCCTTTCTAAAAATGGGTCTTTTAAAAAAAACGAAATGGATATGAATGAAAGCAGGAAATAAACTGATCGTTTTGAACTACTTGATGATGGAGGGGACGTGCACTATGCAGGCACTTATCATTTTACGTACTCTAAAAGGACGATCAATGATTACCGACAAAGACCTAATCGCAATTAAGTGACAAAGATTTTGAATAGGGCGCCCTCCCCGAACGTCACTTGTTTCCTCCAGAATGAACCTGCCTTGAATCATTGAAGTACATCACGTGTGACAAAGAATGTATCCTTGCAATAATGTGTTCACCTGTCGCTCCCAACTAACTAGATGATTCCATATGACGCAAGACGATTGTTAAACACCTGACGTATTTAATCAGATTTCACAAGTCAGTAACGATACAGTTATCACATCTCGTGAAGTTAACCTGATGAATCATTTGTTCTCGCGGATTTTCCATTGTTCCTTAATGGATGCAGAGCTAGTGGCCCAAAGACACATGGCATCTCACGTTTCCTCTTTCGACACACGCAAGAGTATGACTGATGAATACCTTGAATTATTGAACTGAACATACATTATGGCACCACTGCTTGAGCGAAGACAATGGTAATAAGTGCATCCGAATAGATTTGCTAGATGCATTACACGGGTACTTTACAGCTGATATTAAATAAGTCATGTACTTCGTACGTCGTAATAATAGCATGTAAGCATGTCGTGCTCACTCAGACTATACGTTTAAACCTTGGCCTCGATCATACCAGTATTAAAGGTACTATGTCCCTTTTGCAGCCAACCTCAAATGCTGTAGAACTTTGCAGGAATTATGAATATGTCATGTATGTCCTATCTGTGAAATTTAAACGTTAGCAGTGTCCTCATATTCAAATTATGCAAGGAAACCCGTTTACTTGCTAGACTTCACTTTCAGACACTATTGAGTGACTGACTGGCCTTTTTTCTTCTTTGGTAATAACATAGTATGAAAAGAGTTGTAAAGGGTACATGAGCATTTGTCTACATCAATAACCCACTTCTTGTGATGGCCAAGATTAAACTGATATTTGCGCAGCATAAAACGTATGACCATTCAGTACAATTGTCTGAAAATCAAGACTATTACTTTTGGGCTCTATAGCCCTAAAGTCGATTTGACAACTAATAGTTGTTATTTTCCCACTTGAAGACATTTTCAAGCCCCACCTATTTTTAGGGAAGTTCTAAATTAGTATTATCGTTCAAATGCAGTAGGAATTTAACTTTTTCATTTTTTTGGCCTGCAAATGGGACATAGTACCTTTAAAGATACTAGTAGTTTGTAGTTGAGGCCTTGAGGGGACAAAGCTCATTTTTAGCGAGATGTCAAACCCATTGAAACAGAACATAGACGCTTACATCTCAAAGGTACATTGTAACTAATCATTGTTCTTGTTTGCACCAGCAATACATTTTATGAAATACAGGTGGTTGTATTTTTGTTCTTCAAACGGGAAACAAAAGCTATTCATGAAGCTAGTCGTGGTCGAGTGGATCACAAGGTCCGCGGTTCAAGTCCCACTGCGGCACTAATGACCTTTGGCAAGACATTGATCTACGTTTGCCACTCTCCACCCAGGTGTTAACGCATAAAACAGGTCGTATTCAAACTCAACTAAAATAAAAAACGCAACTTGATTTTTAACCAATCGGAATCGCGTATATCGGACTTGTGTTTAGTTATTTTATTTATATTTCAACGCAACTCTTTATGCGAGAGGAGGGCCCTAGCTGCATGGTCAATAACATTGATATTACCTTCACATCCAAGGCCATCTTCTGTGAGCTTGAGACCTTCTGGACAGAAACAGTTGAAGCCATCGTTGTACTGGATGCAACCAAACTGGCACCGTGAGGAATAACACCTGTCGTCACCTGGTAATTGGAGAAAAAATAGGGTACAGGAAACATTTAAAATTAATATTTTCAATTAATATGTCACCAATAACCACAATGGAAAAGACTCTCGAAAAATCAACGTTAGAAAATGTCAGTAGCCTTGCCTGTCACCTGTCACCTCCTAAAATTTCTGAACATAACCGTTATGTATTACGTAATTCGAGCATGACTTTCATGGGGTAAACAATACGAAAGTGGAAACGCCCTTTATTTGATGTATTGAAAGTCTTTGCGATCGTATCAAGGGCATGATGAAATTCTTTTGACATAATCAAGATTCAAGATTCAAGATTTTATTGTCCATATCAAATACAGAAATTTGTTTTCTACTGGTGTAACATGTAATAGTGGCCAACGTGAATTGAACGGACGCTGGAACATTCCTTTTTATTTGTGTTACTTTACGTACCTGGAGCAGTCGATAAACCCCATGGAAGAACAGTTGCATTGCTGAAATGGACTACCCGCATCCATACATATTCGTGAATTAACATGTATATTTTAATTTTGGTTTCATTATTGTCATGGAAATAAAAACAAACCAACTGTCAAACGTTCCTCCTAATCTGCACGATTGGATTTCAAGTTTCCGCAACACCATTCTATAGAAACATATCAAACCTTTCTTACACCAAAGTAACGTACCTAAATATTAAATATTCCATGCTAGAAGGCGGGATGTAAAATGTAATCAGAAAATAAATACAAAAATCAGGAAAGTTTTCAAGTTATACCAATTAACCTTTATTCTATTTTAGTTACATCTAAGTTACTGAATGAAACACATAGATCGGAAGGATATACGTTTTCAAAATACCTATCAACCTTTATTCTGCTTCGCTCACATCGGAGTATTAGACCTAAACATTAAATATTCCATGCTAAAGGCAGGCTCTAAACCTAGTTTAAAGACAAAACTAAACATATGGAAAAACAGATCAGGAAATGTCAATGGCTTCAAAAGCTTCTGTAACATGTTACATACTTGCCAGGAGAATGGAAAGATCTGATTAAACTCCCTCTGGCAATGTACATCACGTTTTAATATTTTTTCCGAAAACACATCCCCCACTTCTCACGCCTACGGGCAATTAGATGCATGTTTATTCTAGAAATTGTTAAATCCGATAGATCTTGGCCAAAATATTCAATTCAATTTCGACATGAAATTATGTCTGCCTTATCGTCGGCTGCATACGGGCACACATAATATGCGTGTGTGATTTAAGAGGGGAGATTGAGAAAAAACTGCGAGTTCAGCAGATAATTCTGTTATACTTTTTTGTTTTGGTTGACAAATGCAACAGGTTTATCTGTCCACCTACTTGTCTTTTAACTTCACATGCAATCACGCCTACATCTAATCATAGCGATCCCAGGAACCTGGACCCCCAGGTAACTCCAGGAGACATCATCAAGCACATACAGTACGTACCTTGTCATTGTCTTGATACAACAACAAGTGATACACACAAGACGTCACTCCGTTTGTATCATAACATGTCGCTAAAGCTCGAGTCAAGTCTATTCGTATAATTATCATTCGCATTATTGTCATAAGAAGAAGTGGTGGTGGTAGCGGGGGTGGTGTTAGTTGTTAGTAGCAGTAGTAGTAGTAGTTGTGGTGGTAGGGTAGAAGTCTAAGTAGTAGTAGCAGTAGTAGTATTAGTATTACGGATGGTAGTATTAATACAAGTAGTAGTAGTAGTAGTAGTAGTAGTAGTAGTAGTAGTACTGATAATAGTAATAGCACTAGTAATAATAGTAGTAGTAGTAGTAATGATGGTAGTAGTAGTAGTAGTAGTAGTAGTAGTAGTAGTAGTAGTAGTAGTAGTAGTAGTAGTAGTAGTAGTAGTAGTAGTATCAGCAGCAGCAGCAGTAGTAGTAGTAGAAGTAGTAGTAGTAGTAGTAGTAGTAGTAGAAGAAGTAGTAGTAGAAGGGTTGAAATACACAAGAGCGCAGATTATTTATAATTTTTCCTTACAAAAAAAAAACAGATCAATGGATCAAGGAAACCCAACAAACACTTATCGTTCTCAAGATGCCCTCAATGTTCCCAAACGATTAGTAATGCCCCAACCCAAGAGCGTTTTGTATCCCCGGACAGACTTTTTAATTACACAACCCCCTTGAAATTGTACTCAACAGCGCACATATTATTAATTAGCATTTTCTATTGCGATTGATGGATCACTTGATTATGAATACGTGGGACAACACATTCAATATATCTTGTTTTTATGGTTCATTTTGTATAATACTCACGACTGCACGACCGTCCGTCGGCCATGATGATGTATCCGTGTTCGCAATAGCATTTATAAGAACCGTCAGTGTTCATACAGCGATGCTCACAGGGGTGTACAGCACACTCGTTCATATCTGTAGGAAAACAAATAAATATCATTCACATTTATGAACTATTCTTCACTCAAACGTTCATTTTCCGATTTAAGAATCCATTTGTAAATGTTAATAATGAGTAAATAAAAAGATATAATGGCGGAATAGCCTCCCCGTCGAAAGGTGGCTTGAGTGCAAGGTTCTAATAACTGATTGAGTTATGGGGACCACTCAATAGAGGCAAGAAACAAAATATCTTGATGGCAGGTAGCCTTTCTATTATTACAGACATGTATGAGAAACACTGTTGGAGAGTCCTAATGATTATACAGGAAATCGAAGTAGCATGGACTTATGAACCAAACTTAGGTCTAGTTTATTAGTCCATGTATGTAGCAGGATAGACTGTATTCGTACATTTTAAACGCTCACTCTCAGGCGGCGCTTTTAAGAAGTTTTAAAATTAAAACTACTCAATCTTCGACGAAAAAGGAGTGCGAAAAGAATCATATTCCATAGATTAAAATCGAACATCTTGAATTATAAGAAAGGCATTCCACATTATTTCCCTCCAACCGGGTCAATGTGGTCAATCTTTTTGACAGAAATCGAACATATTAATTTCATTTTTGTGTTGTAAAAATGGTTCAACTAAAACAATCTAGGCCGGATTTGTAGACACGTAATACAACAATTGGGAAGAAACATATAACCGAGATTTGTAAACATTATGCTGTCTGGTAATGGAAATTACGAGGCATGATAGATGCGTGATGCGATTATTCTGTCGTGGAGACAACATTAGACAAAAAAGTGTTTATATTATTGAGATTAATACATGTAATACTCAGGCTAAGGAATAGAGGGATGAGACAAAGCTTTGGTGAGCTGTTCAGTGTTTTCGTTGTTATAAAGAATATTATATCATATTTGATATGGAAATGTGAGCTTGTTCATGTGCCATTTGTGAATCTTATACTCTCAGTATGCATTCTAACGAGTACTTCGTTTTTTGTTTTCATTTAGTGTTTCTGTACGTATTGTATTCTTAACCGATTGTCGGTGTGAAACTCACGTGCATGCATTTTGTTACTACCCATTCTCTGTTGATATTGATCAATTTTCATCGAAAGAGCTGCTGATAATACTTATTTAAAGGGAAAGTCCACCCCAAAAATAATTTTGTTTCGATAGAGGCAGAATAATAAGAAAATCAGGTGAGTGAAAGTTTGAGCAAATTCTGAATGAAAATAAGAAAGTTATGAATTATTGAAGTTGTGATCAATCAAATACAAATTGGCAACTCTGTGACGTATTATACGAGCTCTCCTTCATTTGCTTTGTGCATAATATTCCATAAAATCATGTTTTCTTCGTTATTGATGACGGAATATATATTTGTTCCTTGCAGGGGGAGTATAGAAACATATTTGCAATTATTATATTTAGGGTGCATGTATGGTTGAAATTTTTCTTGAGGGAAAATGAAAATTTTAGATTTTTTTAGGACTAAGCAAATGGAAGTTGAGCTCGCATTTTACGTCATAGAGTTGCCAATTTGTGTTTGTTTGATCACAACTTAAAAAATCCTAACTTCCTTATTTTTAATCGGAATTTGCTCAAACTTTCACTGACTTGTTTCTCTCATTTTTCTACTCCTATTAAAACTAACTTAATTTCAGGGTGGACTTTCCCTTTAAGGAAGGAAATATAATTAGATTTACCCTTGACATTCTTAACCTGCATGCGCTCCTCATTGAATGCAAACAGGGGCTGGAGGGGTGCTGCCACGTACCCCTATAGGGGGTTGAACCTCTTCCTTCCCCCTTGTATAGATACAAAATGTACTATGCACATACATCCCCTGGTTTCAATATACATCGGATGGCGCCTTCCACACATGGGTTCCACTTCCCCAAGAAAATACAGGTGGGGGGTCGGATGCATGTGCTATTTCTGGCGCTGTTCAGGGAGCAAGGGGAATATCAAATCGGGAGGCTGATTACCGAGCCGTTTCCCCCCTGCCCTCATCACATGAATAGTGCCCGATAAATATTGTGTCGAGTTCTTTGAATTCTAGATTTTGTGAGAGGCGCTATAATGATTTCTGCCCGACATGGTTAGATGGAGAATAGAATGGATTGTTTTGGGTGTGAAATGGAATCTGTTTACATGTTAAAGTAGAAATCTACTTTTAACAGGTTCATAAAGACTTTCGTGAAATGAACTATTGTTTTGCATTTAGAATCACATCCTGATTATAATGTTACTGATCGAATGTTACAAATGGAGAAGCACAAGGCTTTTGGGAGAGCCTTAGGCTGATTTGCGTTTTTATTTTTTTTGCGCTCAGGGTTTCTGTTTGTTTGCTTTGTTTTGTTTTGTTTATTTTTTTAAATTTTTTTAAAATAGTTTTTGTTGTCCACAGAGTTAAAAGTTTTTGCTGAGTCTCGGTTTTATACACTTTGAGTTTAAAGAGCAGTTTCGCCATGGCTCCCAAATGGTACATGGACCCCCATTTGATGTCTTATATAGGAAATCATATTCATCAGAGTGCCTGCTTCCTAGGTTCGGCTTCGGAAATTGATGCCCACTGAGGGGTGTTTTCCTTTGTAAATATGTCAGCTGCCCCCTTTGAGTCCTGGTAAAGTCAATAATGTATGACATTTTGTAAGAACGTGTATCTTAGTAGCAAAGTCACTCAAAAATAAGTAGTGAGAAGTGCTCTTATTTCGGACATGTCCAGAAATTGCGAATATGACGAGAAACGTTTTTTTTTTCCAACTTCGGACCAAATTCAGATTCCACGCGCTTGTGCAGTTTCATATACTCGACTCTCTAGTGTTTTTCATTTATTGCAAATTTGAGCAAATTTGTTAGTCTATTTGTGACATGATGATTCCAAATACTCATATTTCACAGGTAACCATAAATTATTGAAATGGGATAACAGACTTCATAGAAATAAAAATATGCCTGCCTTGTTTGCGTCCTCTCACTTTTGTGATGCAACTTGTCGGTAGTTGTTGCTAGGAATCTTGATGAGTAAAGGAGCCAGCATGGCACCGGCCGGCTACCGGTGTGACAACGGGAGACATTCCTCGGATACCAAAGACGCTAGGATGTCAGGTTCTATACCGCGGATGATGGTCGGAAGCGGGCTGATGATGCCACCATTATAAATGCACGGGGTATTTCTGGAAGCTGTTTTAGAGGAAGATAAATCTGTTTTCGAATCCTTGCCCCTCCTCCCAGCCCCTATATAGCTACACACATGTCTAGTTTGTTGAGGCATCTCTCTAGATGGTTGGACAGATGATGTCTCCGGTCAAGGAAATTTGCTTTGGGGAGTCCGCATCAATGTCATTAGCGATACCATCAGGTCAATGAATACCTTCTGATAGGATAGTTAATAACATAAAGCCAAATTGATTTTCAAATATCGTTTATACAGCTAATCGTTATCCTCCTTTCTCGCCTCCGTTGGTTCCGAGACAGTCATTAGATTAGCAAGCTGTATTATAATATTTATAAGCGATAATCAAGGTAAATTTACCGAACCATTTAGCATTAGCCCAACCGAGTCTTTTATTGTGCCGACAAACATCGCAATACAACTAGTTGTGGGGGTAGTGGGGGGGGGGGGGGGCACAATGTCAACCCCTGCGTGTCTTCTCAATCGGGCAATGCTTATGCGAAGTCCCCCTCCCCCCTCCCCTGTTTCCCTCTCGAGAATCCATAACTGCGTTCTTCATCAGTTGAAGAAGAAGACAGTCTTGACATACCTCTGTTCGTGCAGGTGTCAGTACCAACCGATCACCAATTTATTCTGCATCACGCCAGACTATAAATACTTTGGAATGGCATGATGATGATGTTTGTATACCAAGGACACGTGATGAAGATGGGTTTTAAATGTATACGTAGATGTCTCCGGAAATCATTAAGCGCTGTCTCGAATCCAAAGAATTTTTTATTATATCCGCAAACAACAATTACCACCAATTGACAAGCACGGCCTTTACCTTAGATTCAATATCCATCATAGGTGCATTCCTGACATATACAATCACGTCAAGTTACATGAAGTTTCATACAGCTCAATAAGAGCTACTCATGAATATGCAAATGAGCATGTAAACGATGCAACTTGGTCACCTTAAAAAGTCTTCGCGTCATTCTGGAACGCATGCATGTTTCCCTACTGAATTTTTTTTTAAATTAAAGATTAATAGAAATATTAGATGAGAAGTTGCCGTTTGAAGTTTGATCTTTAATCTATGAGAGTGTCGAGGAAGAGATTACCTGTTAACCAGTGGCAGTGGCAACGGCTAAATATAATTATGATTGTAAACAATACACATGGCACATGGCAGAACATGAACTGCATTGTATCAAACGTCAATCAATTCCAATTCATGTGATCTGACGTTATGGAAATGATTATGTTCTTGCATGTGATTTTTGTTGTTGCTTGGTCTAAATGCCCTCCGGCGTAGTCGAATGTAAAACATGTTTTCTTTCTTAAAAGCTAATTAATTGCCGGCGTCCCGTTAATGCTCATGAAATCTACCTTTGTTACCAGAACAATGATTTTTCTGGCTGAACGGAATCCTTTCTTGGATATAACCAAAGCTAGATTCTGGGTAAAATTTCGGGGACAGGGAATCGTTTAAGTTGCGCCATCTGGTGTCCAGATGACAGAGTTATTGTCAGACGTGATATACCTGTACAACCAAACTAGGGTCAACACATCGGGGGTTTGAAATTGGATACGAAGGACAAAAAAGAACCCTCAAATTCAGGTCTTTATCAAATGATTTTGTGAGTTATCAATTATTGCGATTCGTTTGGGATTTCATGAAACTCGCTCCTTTATCTGATAGATTATGGTTTATGTTGATCAATGATTACATTGTGCTTTTTTGACGATATTTTTTTCCATATCATTTCATTTTTCTGTTAAGAATCCAAAATAGTGTTTTCTCTTTCATCGTTTAAGCGTTAGATCAACCCCGTCCTTTGTTTAAAAAAATGAAAACTCAAGTTTTTCTCGTCACTATATTGAAAAATGAGTGTATAAATATTCAGATATTTATCTTTATAAATGCCGATTTTGCCCTTTAAGCTCCTGTACACAACCGGTGATTCGGTCCTTACAGTCTTGACAGCAAGCCTGCTGGGCATCTTGTTTTAGGATACACAATGATTTCCGTGCTGAGCTCACATCTTTCAGTCACAAGGAAATCATACTGGGCCAATTTGATCTCATCTCAAACTAGGAAAGTGGGGGACAAGCATTACAAGAATTAGGTATTCCTCTGAACTTACGACCCTTGTACATATTTTCTTCTTGGACTGTATGTTTTTGATGTTCGCTTCTATTATTAGGGGCTTTTAGATTCGCACGAAGACAATGGGGATTGCTACGATCGACGTCCTTTTAATGCACTGCCTTGAATGGACGTCACACGTATCAGTCCACGCAAATCTAAAAGTCCCTAATGATATGATGTAGCGAGACGATCGCGTTTTCGATGTCTCGATCTTGGACTAGACCCCGAGACTTTATTACAGTGAGGAACACGTATATAGATGTATGGTATTCCTCTAAAGTAACGACCTTTGCAGCATTTCCATCTCCAAAATGTTTGTTTGTTCGATGTATATATTCATTCGTAATGTAGCCAGGCCAGTCCCTACTTATTTTTTTCTATTTTTTCGTCTCAGCTAGTCCTGGTCTAGACTAAGAGACCTAATGCTAAATGGATGTAATAAACACTCTTCTTCCTGGTGTGCTCTCGGGTTCCCAGGTCTCATTGCTATATACAGGTGTGGGCATGTCTTAGCACCCCCACCCCAACATTAATGTGAAACAGCTCTAAGTTTTCTTAATTGTATAGTAAACTGGAACTCCGTTTAACCATATTGTGATACCATGTTTATAATGTTCTTTCTTACTACATGTATTTAAAATAATTTTTTCTTAAGGTGTCCATGTAAAACTTGAATAAGTTTTTCCTACTGTTTGAAAGGTGTTGACATTTAGCACCGTCCACACAGCTCTCTAAAATTCACGACGAATGTGTTCCTATATACATCGCCAATGTGTTATAACAATCTTTGAAACATCCACTGTCATTCCCTGGACTCAAAATCACCTATCACATCTATCAGTCCACATTTCTGCCGTCATCTTTAAAGATAAACTTGAGTTCTGGTAATGCGATTGCATTGTGAAAGAAAAGGTGTGGAATGGATCAGAAAAGTTGATCATATAGCATGTAAGTAATGGTGTGTAATGCAAGGTTTTGGAGTCATCAAAATCATCACAAATTTGGCAGAGTCTTAGTAAAGTAACAATCACTTACACAGTAAGATGTATATGGGACAACACACATGGTGTCGGGGCTAGTACTACCCTGATTTCCTTATCTTTCTATGCTCATTACTCAGCCAGTATACATTTTCTTCCAAAATTATTTGACACATGACATTTATTTTTAATCTTGAACATTTAGTGTAAGTTTCGTTAGATTCTGTGAGAATTCATTTTCTTTTTTTACCATAACTCAAGTTTATCTTTAACGTCTCCCAGAAAGAGGATACCTTCTTAATGACTGAAGGTTCTATCGGGAATCACGTTGTCCTTCTACAGTGACAACTCGATGATGATCCTATATACATACCCCCCGCTTAGACCACTCAAATTCATCGCATTGCTGTACAAGCATTGTGTTAAAGTAATTGCCTTCTTCCTATGGTATGAATGTCGTATACCAGAACGTGTATTATGGCGAAAAGCATCATTTCGAAAGAAAGCTCGAGAAAGAATCAGGGTCTGTTCTCGTTTGAACGCCGTATACGTATACCAAAACTGTATAACTGGACGTGACTGGTCATGAGCTCGCACTCATGACTTCTTCAAAACTTGTTTCTTTAAACGACGATCCTATATTATATACGCTGTTGTTTCCCCTCCCTCCTTTTTTTTCTCGTATACAATTATTCTTTATACGACGTGTACACCTCTTTTCGTATACGGTTCTTCTTTATACGACGTTCCCTTATACGATGTTGTTCGCCGTTTTTTCGTTATGCAATAATTGTTTAAACGACGTTTAAACTCCTTTCGGTATACGATTCTTTATACGATGTTCCTTCTTCAAATGTTGTTCGCGCCCTTTTTTTTCTTCTTCGTTATACGACGTTTACATCCCTTTCGGTATACGATTATTCTTTATACGACGTTTACACCCATTTCTGTATACGAGTTCATATACATATTCTGTAGTCTGAACACGTTAATAGAGGTCATCAAAATCTCATAGGGATGAGAGAGAATCGTGACTAATAAATTATTTCGTCAAATCAGAAGAGATCACAGATTGAGATGGCAGGCTCAGGAAATGTATGTTTCCCTCGTTACGATAAAACATCCAGATATTCAAACTGCCACTTCTTCTTCTCTTGGTAGTTACCGTGGTTACGGGAATATTGGTTACAGATGAGGCGGACATTTTACTTAGCACCCGATGTTGTAAATAGATTTCCTTTACAAAAAATGTTTTGGTGATCATTGAGCGAATTGGGTCTTACAAGTACAGTGTTTAGTTGAGATTAAACTGATATACATGCTAAACTAGTGTTGACAAATTGTGTATCTCATAGCATACACAGATATTCAATGTTTTCAGTTAAATGATTTTAAAATGATTTCGAATGGCAATTGAAAGTTTCTTACGTCCATTTCTCGAAAGCCTTTGTGATCTTGTCATAAATTTTTTTTAAATGGAAAATGAAATAAAAGAAAATGGTGGGTGCTTACCTGCTTCACAATATTCTCCTAACCATCCGGGATGACATTTACAGCGGTTATATGATACACAAGTTCCATGTTTTCCGCAAGATCTCTCACATATAGCTGTAAGGAATAACAACAAACAAACAAACAAACAATTATCATTTGAATACAAACATTTCGTCCAAATTCTCTAACTCAGTCAAGGTACGTAAACATGACATACATGTATTGCTGCTAAAGATTGTTAAAACTTTATATTTAAAAAAGGAACTTCGTTATGATAAGAATATTTTACATTGATTTCAGTGAGGACACACAAAATTGTAGGTCCAATTATTTCCCCGGGAGGGGGACCACTTGCCCCTGTGCCCCATGGACTTGTCTTGGGAAAATACATAATTTGTCTTCCATGTTTAACCTGTTAGAAACCTGGAATACAAGTCTTATTGGGTGGTGATTACACATTATTAAAATAGAAAATGGGATGATCTGGTTTAGCTTAACTGCGCAATATTCACCTGCTAGGTAGAAATGAAACACGAAAGAAATTGATGGGAGGCAAAATGGTCTTAACACAGAAAAAGACATCTTGGGCGGATTCTTCCTTAAACCTTAAAAGTGGTTTAAGAGAAACTTGCTACGAAAAGTTTCCTATTTACTTAATAAATATTATATTGTCTTCGGGTATGTCACAACTTCAATCATGAATTTACTTTTTGAAATCGTCAATGATTACATGAGACTAGTCATTCATTTTTTTTGAAATACAGAAATACATTAAATCAAAGTAGAAAGTACGAAAGGGGGAACAAGAGCGGGCAATTAGTTACATCGACAAAAGTCTTTTTCTTTCTTGATTTGCCTACAAAATAAACCCAGAAATATTACTTGTAACCCTGGATGACGCCATGTACAAGACCTGGAAAAATCAAAAACAGAGAGACGTCAGAGCCTAAAATGGGCAAATAGCTTGTAACTGGCTTTCCGGCAATATCAATTGAACATAATCGTACTACAGTTCTTTATCCGCATTTCAACGGGTGTGATTACCAGGTTGCTACAGCTTTAAACGCCAGTGAATGATTTTTTTTTCAAAGACCGGGAGAATTACAAAAAATTATCTTCTTAATCCGAGCACATACCAACTTGATCCTTGACATTAATTTTTCGACCGTTATACTCTCCAGAAAAGACGCAGAACAGAGCCCCCGTATGACGCGTCAAAAGTTGTTCCGATTGAGCAACTCAATATTTGCACGCCTTAGGGCGCAATTAAAACGATTCATAAATCATAACTTAGAGCTATCAAGAACTAAATCAAGCGACGATAGGGTGTGACATTGGGATACAAAATGGGAATAGTGTCACACAATCTTGATGAAACGAAACATAGTTCCTGGTCATATTCTGGAGCCCGCAGCATATATTTTTTGCTACATGTACGTGTATAATATGGTTTTTTCTAATTATTTCGAGAATATTGGATTCATTATGCAGGATAAGCAATTTGGGTTAGACCATTGATCTTTAAAAGTAGGTTGATCAGAAGAACAGCATAGAGAAAAGCTATAATGATTGTACGATATCTTTTGAAAAGCCAAAGGCCAAGAATCATATTAGTCGAGTTATTGGCTGTAAATTGCCCCGATTTGCTTTTAGTTGTATAGTTGTTAGCTATTTGTTGATTGGTAACCTGTTTTGCTTTTTGTTTTGTTTTGTTTGATTGTTTTGTTTTTGTCTCTATCATTTGGTTTTCTGTACGTTTGTTTTTACTCATATGTACACGTACTACTCATTCAAAGGTTGAACACATTAGGTTTTCAAAGATACAAACTTCTGTACCCCTAAGGTATAAGTGCATTTTATTCACTACAAATCACCTGACCAGCGGCAATGCTCTTTTGACTTTTAATGTACTGTTAAACGTGTGCTCCCGCTTGACTGGTAATTGTTTTATACCACTTTCATGCCAATTTCATTCGGAATCGAGGATTTAAATGCAAACAAGAGAACAAACCAGCAGCTTTCTTCTTTCAGGTGTGAAAATGGAGGAGTTCAAAAGCACAGAGTACTCTTTTCTTTCCCTCTTTCATTCTCTCTCTCTCTCTCTCTCTCTCTCTCCCTCTCTCTCTCCCCCTGTGAAGACATTCGCCGTTCATTGGCTTTTTCGGCGTCACAAACTTTCACAGGCGGAATTAAAGAGCAATGAAGGAAAAACAACGAACAAACCACACGACTTCCAATCGTCTTGAAAATGACATGTGCGCAGAATATGCTAGTCTCCGTCGAGGCGTTAAATACCATTCTGCTTTGCTTGTCGTAAGCGTTGGAAATCGCTCGAATTGCGCCCCGAGGAGGTGGTGTAACAGATACCGTCTAAATTGCTTTTCTTCCGCCTGTCTGTCAGTCTTCGGGCTATTAAATGGGCGAGTTCCTCTCGCATATTATGAACCGAGCCACATTTAAAGGGAATATTTAATATTCAGAGGCTATGATGACGATTGTAAACGTTTGGTACATCGAGATTACGAATGCAAAACATATACCTGGAAAAATATCTCACTAATGGAATGTATGCGATTTTCGTACTTTTCTCTCTTCTCGTTATTCCGAAAATGAAGAAACACATAAAAATGTATGTATTTTGATAGTTAACGACAGTCTCCGTTCCTGAAGCCTTTAGCAGTATTTTAGATTTCAATTTTATTTCTTACTTTAAGCAAAAAACAATAAGAGAGTACTTTTTAGGTGTTCGGTGAAAGTTTGAACCATCTACAGAAAGCCTCCGACTACAATGAACACTGGAATAAGCCCAGGGTCTTCTTTGTTTCACACGTTCTTTACTTAAGGTATTTTGAACACCAGGAATTATTCTAAACCAAAATTTAAAATTTGAAATCACTTTACAAAATCAGATCATTTTAATTGCGCTTCCACAATACTTGCATGATTTCTTGGGCATATATCTATAAAGAAATAGATAAATCAGTATTATATTTTTGACAGAAAAAGTTGAAGAAAAAAGTTGACAATAACCCTCTTCGAAAACATTTCATATAAAAGCCTAATTTGATAGTGAGGTGTTTCATCAAACGTCGTTTGTTTTTCTCAACAAAATTTTCATGATGATTAAAATATTTCTCTTTTTGTCTTCATTTTTGTGAATATATGGATAATATCTTGGGATTTTGTCTTTGTTGTTATTCGTTGTTGCCTTAGTTTTTTAGTTAGGCTTACTTCATATCTACTGTAGAGGTAATAATTGAGCAATTGAGCAATCGTCTTTCATTTTGTATTCATATCACTTATTTTTGCATCAGCACTGCTAGTAGGTTTTTACCAATTTGAGACTCAGTATCTTACGGTACAGATCTACAAAGTAAAGGGATATTGACATGGGACTGTAGCCTCGGGAGAATTATAGTTTTTGGCAGTGACATTATCAGAGGGAAGTCATCACTTTTTTACCGAGGTTGAGAGGCGTGTCATGGTTCTAAAGATCAACATTTTACTAACCACTGTAAGAAGTTCCCCAGTGAACAAATAAACGTCATGATTAAAGCTGACCTGAAGAAGAGATCCAGAGTTGGCCCTCCTCCGTTGGGAAGGAGCCAGTGTGAGTATTTGTTCGGAAAGGGGGGATGTTTACAAATGCTGACATGTTTTAAAAAGAAAATTCTCTCCCATGTGTTTAATGCCTTTCTTGAATGACTTTAAAATATCTGCAATAAAAGGCCATTGCTTTTAGGAGGGCATGTTTAGTAAACAATAGGGGAGGTAATACCCCCCCCCCCCCTCCTCCCCTTAACGCCGTGTATATTCCACACTGCTTTAACCCCGACATCGAAAAGTGGTGTCCTAAGTTTGTCAACCCCCACCCAGCGGGGCATGAATATTTATCTGTGGACTATGTGTCGCTACTAAATTGAAAAATTAAGTTAACATGGTAAACGAGCTTTCGTCATACTAACGGGTTGAAAACGGGTGTCAAGCGTGACCTCTTTTACAGATTCCCACTAATATAAATCGCATACAAGATACTTGCATGAGATTATCAATGACAGTGACGATTTGTCACGAACACATAGACATTCGTTTAGTGTCGTATGCAGACTTCAACAAAAAATATTATTGAGAAATGTAAATGTTGGTAGAGGATGCGGAAACGTCGGCATGTTGTGTAATCGCGTATCAAGTTTATACCATGACATGTTTTCTTTTACAGACATTTTCGTGGCTCAAGGTTCTATACATCCTAATAGACAATGTCGAGTACACATAGTCCTCCCGGTAAGTTGACTTGACACCCAATGTAGATCTCTACCCATAAAACGAATGCAATGTGCAATATATAGAAAAGGCAGAAGGAAGTCATGTCGTTACTAGCAAAGTGATTTTAAATTTGGCCGCCGCCTCCTACTCTTTTACGACCATGAGTGTTCCTTGTTAGTAATGTTTATCCACTAACGTGTACAGCTTAAAATATCGGTTTTGCTCTGACGAAAAAAACATCGCGCCAAAAAAAATGAGGTGAAATGTATGCCAAAATTTATTTTCCCCTTAAGAATTTGTAAAATTAGACTTCTTGCTTGTTAAGACATTTCATCTTTCTTTGGTTAAGTTAACAACAGAAACGTTTTCATCATTCTTATTGGACTTGTTTCTTTGTTGAAGATTTGAAGCTCATCCTTAGTTTTGAAAAGGGAACTGTAATTCGAGCGAAACAAGCTACATAAAGAGATGATTGAGTTTGCAATTTTTTTTTTTTTAACCTCACCGGACTGTAGATCACAATGGTTCGCAGTTCGAGTCCCACCGCGGCACTAATGTCATTCTTAATAATTATGTCAGTTTGAAAGAATGTCCCATATGCTAAGAATTGATCTTCAAATACCCTCGTAATAATTCGAAATACGATGTGAAAAAGCTGAAAAGTTTGGATCATTAACCTTTCAGGTTTCTGAATGCATAGATCGGCTATTCGGATCTGCAAAATGTGAACAATTATTTATCACGACCTTGTTCGAAACTAGATGTTGTACTGACACCAACCGGCCGGGACAACTAGCTCGCTTTTCCTATCTTGAGCTCGTTACTCATCTATTATAACAAGAAAATTG